TCATATCCTTAAATCAATACCTCTGGTGTTTGGTTGATCAAAGGCTCCAATAGGCTTTAACTTAGCATGAGTAGCTCCCTGAGCTAGTAGTGATGCCTTTGGTTGATTTCCTGCAGCCTGAAGTTGTTCCCTCTGAGGAATGGGATTTGCATTGTTAAGGTTCACAACTGGAGGTACAACTTGAGGATTCTCCACATTCTCTATTTCTTTGGATTTTCTAGCTTGAGCTTGTGATCTACTATGTCTTTCCAATCGGCCAATGTTTTGTACTAAATCAAGCAAATCCTCCTTCCTGGATTCTCCTTTTCATTTACTACATAAAAAACAGGGAAGAGAAAGACAATACGGAAACATAGTAAAATGCAAGGTAAAATGCAGACAAAAGAAAATAAAACTATGGACGTAATGAAACATTCAAATTCAGTATCTAAATGTGCAAGCTTCCCTGGCAACGGCGCCAATTTGATGAGAATGATTTTTCATTCAAATAAAATCTATCAAGCTAACAACCTAACTCATAATTCAATTATAGCAAGCATAGGGTTCGAACACAAGGAAGCATAGAGTACTAAACCATGAAAATTTTCAATTCGGTTATGATAACTAAATGAAAATGCAACAGTTGTGATAAACATCAGTTGCATGCCGAACAAAAGGTCATTCCAGCATTCCATGCATAAACAAGGGTTTGATTTGGTTGTGATAACTAAACGAAAATGCAACAACATGGGAAATGAACATAACTGAAACTAAAGGTGAATGCAATGGTATGGAAAGCATCGAGTATCGGATTAGCAACTGATGAGGACCAATAAATTGCAGCTAATAATGCTAGAGACTTTCAGTTAAAAGCTCAACTCTTAAGCATGTAACACATATTCAAACTAGTCCACTTTCGTGGCACTAATCACTTTGTTGAGTACAAAGATCTAACTAACTTTTGTACTAGATATAAGGACTCTCGAAGCATAACGGTTAAGTTTCAATAAGCTCACTTAGCGCCTTAACAACACTTTCATGGCTAAAGATTACTAAGCCGAACAAAAGGTCATTCTGGCATTCCGACAAGCATCTTTCGGGCAGCAGAACACCTAAAGCTGAAGCTCAAGACAGAAGTCGAGAACTAAGAATTAACACCAACCTAAGCTCGAGAAACGTATTAGTTAAGCCAAAGCTATATTAGCTGTCCTCTAAAGCTCCTACATCTACTAACCCGACACTCGACAAGCGAACCTACTCTCTCTTTAGGCGCAGGTTATCGGTCTTCAGTTTGTTCCTCAGCCGATGCGATACGCCAGGTCCAATGGTTGGAGAGTCTTGATGCTCCATCGTGAAAAAGGGGATAACCTAGGACATCTGTGCACTTGTTTGGGGGCACTGACATCCTGATTCTCGACCCAAGTCATGAACTTCAGTAGGTTTGATCGATGAGACTCCATCTTTTCGTTGTTCCAGCTGTGCTCTATCGGTGAGCTCTGATGAATGGTGACCAATTTCGACTCCTCTGCTTCCTTTGTTAACTTCAAAACCTTGCGATTCCCCTTATT